AGCACAAATCCAAAACATATCCCGTTACTACTATGAAGAGAAATAACTTTGCCCCAGCCAGAACCAGCACATGTGGAAAGGAGCTGTTCCTCATTCTGATGTGATTAAAATGATAATGTGCTCCCTGGAATTAATGGGTCTATGTGTGATTTTCAGAAACTGGCTTTTAATTGCAGTGACATTCAAGCGAAGATGCATTGGAAAATAAATATGAAGCACTCACTGCTTGTGCAAGTTTTGATAGAAAATCTTGTGTGAAGATACTAAAGTGGGTTTGTTGCAAGTGAAGGAGGAAGATGGCAACTGGTTTTCCTGACATCCCTGTTCTTTCACAAATTTCCACCTACTACATTCATCTTTATTTCATAGCGTGTTCATAGGCCTGAATTGTGCTCCATTTTTTTCTGGCAAGAACTAGAAAATGTGTTGGTAAAGATTTTACCAAAGAACATATTTAGAGGGTTGAAATTCAGGTCTCTTTTAGGTAAAAATAGTAGCAGAACCGCAGAACTGCAAGTTTTGCTTTAAATCTCAGCCAAAAAAACCCAACAAACTTTAATGATTGACTATTGACATCAAAGTGAAACTTCAAGATCAAATTCATCCTTCAAACCTAATAAAGCCAACCCTGTTTTTTAAGGTTCCCATTACCAATTGCAGCTGCTTCTATTCTGTTTAAATACAAATCTCATTTCATTCATGTATTCACAGAATGAGGCCAATTCCTTGGGGACAAGAGCTCCCAGTGAATCCAATGAGCCAGAGCTGTACATACATTATCTGTAATCAGACAGAGCCAGGTAGGAAAATTTAAAAATGAATGTTTGTATTAAAATCTTGAAGCTTTTTATTTCATAGGATTTAGGTGAAATTTAATGAGTGCATGTTTGGTTTTCATAATATATCATATATAAGATGTGGTCAACCGTGTCCAGAAACTCATTTTGCAGGATGCAGAAATGAATCATTTAAGGGTATTTGCACATGACTGCACATAGACCCTCATATCTCTATTCAACCTGTGTTTTGCATACTGTCAGGTCACATAGAGAACAAATAACATTCGAGTAGCATTCATTGATTTTGCCAGGCTGCCTTCTGTCCTGCCTTGTTACACCTTCAACAGGGCAATGACAGGCCTACTCTGATCCAAGACATGGCATTACCTGTTAAAATGAAACATTGTTTGTAAAAGCAGAGCCAAGTAGTGTCCAGAAATGTCACCTTAGAGAAAGAACAAACCTTTTTAAAAGCCTTTTTCTCTTTATTCTTGCAAATGTGATTTATAAGCATTTGTTAATCTTATTAAGTTAGAAATTAAATTAAAACTCGTACTGGCTACACAAAATATTATCTTCAAGGTGACAAGTAAATTACCCTGGTCACATCATTATGATTGAAATTTGCACTTCATTTTCTGCTAGAAACAAGTCCATCAAGCAACAAAGCCTTCACCTTAACTAAAATACTATATCTTTTATTTTCTTTTTAGCCAAATCCTGCTTCGTTCAGAGCTCTTGCAGGAAAAGGCAGAATAACCCAAGCAGGATATAATACTATATTATAGTATTATATCCTGCTCCTACAGGAAAGAGCAGCTTAGATCCTGAAAGATGCTGCTCAATAGAAGAAGCAGTCAGCTTTTTTCTTTTTTACTGCAGTAATTAGTGTCACCAGGACCTTACATTCTCTAGTCAATGGAAAGAAGCATGTATTTAAATAACCTGGATAATTGCCCTCTCTGCTGTTCTCTGGAGCCATCTACTTCTTTGCACTAGTATAGTCCACTCAAAGTCTATGGACCACAAGTGGGCCATACAACAACACCGGAATATTTCCAAAATTGTGAAAATGGTTGGAAATCTTTTGAAATCATTAAAACTGGAAATTCAAAGAAACACCAGTAAAAGGAATGTTTCTTTTAGAAACACTCGACCATGGCCTTCTTCCACCTTACAATTAGTGTCACTGACACTAAAAAAAAGTTGGAAAAATGTATGATTATGCAAATTTGACTCTTTAGGCAAATACTTGAAGATTGTAGGTATCTTTTTGCGCCTTAACAGCCTTTATTCCTGCATATGCATGAATTTAAAAGCTACCCAAGAATATATTATTGAATAAATGAAATTATCTAGGGTGGAAGGGAGGGAGTGGAAGAGTCTAACAAAAGGATATGATGAACATCAGAGAATAGCTTTCTGATTAAGATTATGTAGTAAAAAATCAGGATTCTTTACATACCAAGTGCACTTTGGAGTTGACTAAAGAAATTCCCTTAAAAATAAAGAAAAAAAATCCCTTTCTAAATAATATTAAATTGGTCTCAAAGACATTCCCTAAAGGTCTCTAGGTAGACCAACTGTCCCCTAGAGGTACCTCAGGAATATAGCAAGGCGCAGCTGTTAATAGCTCTCTCCTGGGTAAGCCAGCCCTCCTGCCTTCTGTCACATGCTTAAGCAGATAGGTAGACAGAAATAGGGTATCTTCGTGCTATTTCTTATATTTTAAAACCTGTGATAAATTTGTATTGTGATATATGCTAGAGAAAAACAAAAAAAGAGAAGTTTGAAAGCAGTTGCTTGAGCCAGTCAGGTTTAGCATTGATCAGCAAGCTAGAGCTCACACTACAGCAACCTGATTACTGTTCTTGTCCGAAAATCTATGATTATAAAATGTTCAGCTTCATACTCGCAGTTGCTTCCAGAGTAGTTAAAATAAGACCCGATTCCAGAAAATATTCTGCATTTGGATGAAATAATTTTTTTTTAGAGAAATCCTGTTGCAGAAACCTTTTAAGTTTCTCAGGCTGTCATGGTTTAGACAAGTCTCTGGTCCTGAAACAGCACCGTTTAAGTCAGCTGCCAATAGCTGCCAAAATAGAATCTGCCAATTTGCATGTTCAGAGAATTTGTTTACTGCCAGACTTCTGCCTTAATTCACTTTTCTGAATAAACTTCCATTTCAGTATTCAAAATTAATTTAATATTGTGGACAACTTAAATTATTTTCATAGTAATGTTAAGAAACTGAAAGGGCTAAGGAATTGCAGATGAAATGTAACTAAATAAGCATGTTATTTAGTTTTGAAACTTCAAAATGTGTGCTGATTGTTTGTAATAGAGCATAGGGCCCTTTCTTGCATTAGGGATTAGGTAGCTCTGCTTTGGTTGAACACAAATGTTGGGAATCAGCTAAAGAGCACCAGTTCTAACTGAAGAATGACATGTGACCCGTGCCACAGAAGCAGAGGAAGAAGATACAGACTTCTTCTAGCCATCTTCATGAGCACTTAAAAGATGAAGTGGGATTTATGGGCCTCCCTAATTAAATGATTTTTTTTTTTTTCTTATGTCAGAATTAGTTGGAGTGCTGGTCCAACAGTTGTTCTGGAAGGAAGATTAAAGCTTTATTTGATTATCTGGATGGCTCTGTTTACTGTATTTAAAGTGGAATCAGTCTGAGAGGCAACCGAGGGAATTGGCTAGAGCTGGTGTTTGCATGGACATAGGTGAGATCAAGCTACTGTGTGTGCTCAAGGGGAAAGACAGAAAATACTATTGTCTCGAATGAATATATGAACTAATGGAGATGTGACAAAAGGACATGAAAAACAGCCCTAGAGAAAGGCAGAGATTACAGCAATGTGATCAGGTGGTGACTCTTAAAAACTGCTTCAAATTGAACTGAAATTGCTTTGCTTAAGGAGTTCTCATGCTTAGGTTGATTCATTTAATTCAGACTTCACCTGAGACTTCAGACGAAAGTTGCTTTACTTGATCTGGCTTTTGCAAAAGGCAAAGGTGGTAGGAAAAATTCCCGTGTGTACCACCAACCAGAAAGGAAGATTAATTATGATATGAAGCGAGTCCTAGTGGCGATCAGGTAATTTATCGAATGGTCTGTGGTTGCCATCTAGTGGTATAAAGCCAAAGCTTTTGTTCTGCTGCTTAAGAGCAGACAAGGCTGCAGAAACCTGTCTCAGAAGCAGACCTCTCCCATTCAGACATACTCCTGCTGTCAGGCAGATGGTGGTGACAACTGTTTTACCGTCCTTTTAGGAGCTAGGTAGGGGCAGAAATTTTGCAGCCTTTCACCCACCAGGCTTAGGACTAGATCATTAATGTGCTAGCAAGGATTATCCAGTAATTGATCTATCACTCCCTGTTAGTATTCTGGTCATTGTTCCAGTCTTTTGATATCACAGGTACATATTCTAAAATTATTCAGGTACCCAACTTTTCAATGGTTTCTGTGAGAAGTCAGGCAACTAATTATCCTAAGGATTTAAGATTATGTTCTAACAGCTTGTAAACCACACTTGTAAATCACACGTTTAAAACCTTTGGCCAAGGGCCCTCCAAATTTCTCGAGGCATTAGCTATGCTTTACAGCATCCCTGTATGAACATATATGATTATCTTCCAACCAGGACATTGAACTACAAAGCCATTAGCATTCATAAGCATTAGTTCATAAAAAAGTTGTACAGAGCATATACACCATTCTGGCAATGGAACATATATAACTAAACATAAACCTTAAGACTACTGCTTATTCTCTCTTAAGGCATTTCAAGAATGTGTGAATAAAGAATTGAGAGGATTAACTTTATTTCTCAGTTATGTTGTATAATAAACACAAGACAAGGGAGATGCATTAATAGAAATATATTTTATCAGAAGAAATTATATACGGCATGATACTTAACCATACATGTTACTTCACCTGGATTTCTTGCTATACAGTTAAGAAAATAGTAACTATATATTGTTTTTTTTTATCAGTATTCAGGAGGTTTAAACCAATTCCCACTTCCCATCTAAACAGCGATTTTTTTCAGGATTTACTATAAAAGCATTGCTAGGAATTAAGAATTGGAGTTTTCATAATATCTCTGTGATCCAGGAGCAGCACTCAGTTTAGCTGTTCCTGGGATTTTTCCCTCTTAAATAATACAGATTTTTTTTTTTTTTTAAAAGCCTCAGTGAATGAAAAGGCACAGTGAATGAAAACAAAGCAATACAAATTATATAGAGGAGAAATCCCAGATGATTAAAGCAAAGATTAATGAGACTGAATTAACTTTGCTACATAGAGTTAACCATATTAACACTAATATGATTCTGAAAAGTGTACCTATACAATAACACCACACATATAACAAAATACATGGAAGGAAAAAATAATTACATGCTATTAGCTACGGTCCCTTCTTTTTAAAAGAATTATTGAATCTTCCATGTATTGAGCAGCTGTTGCTATGTTCACTCATTCATTCATCCACTCATTCAGCTGCTACTTATTTAATTAATTATTCAATCAATTGTTCACTGAGGGACCCTATATGATCTATGTCTTACAATTGACCTCAAAGAGTGAGGCAGCTGAATGCATCCGATAGAAAATAGAGAAAGGCATTGCAAGGTTCACAACAATTATCCAAGGTTCAAAGCCAAAAACTATTTCTTCTAGTCCATTGTCATATTCTGGGCGGCACCCAAAAGCCGGTGGTATCCACAGCTGCAAGAAAAGAACGCAAGGCCAATATTAATCACCAGCAATACAAGTCAATAGCCCATAATGACTGTGACCCCACCGAACTGCAAATTGGTTTGAGAAATGCCTAAAAAAATCCTCCCTGTTGCTTCGAGGGCATACTGAAGAGGTTTCAGCCTCTGCTGCTGCTACAGTTTTTGTACTACAATTAAAGCAAGCCTAGGCTCTCAGATTCCATGTTTAAATAAACTGTTCCCCAAAGGCAAAGTCACTTATTCTTTCAGAAGAAGAAGTAAAATTTACTTGCTGCAAACTATAGAGCTTTGAAATTTTAATATACTTATCAGACTTGAAAGGTTGGGAAGCTTTTGGCTATTAATTTCTGAATTATGTTCAAAATGTCTTACCGAAAGGTTGCAGAGGAATAAAAATGCAGCGATGTTCTTCAGAATTCTCTTGTGGTTAGTAACTGAGTTTCTACTGCAAAACGGGAAATCTGAACGTGAATGCAAGACCAAACTATTTTCCTGACTTGCTTCTTCCTTGGCTCCACCACCACCATTTTCTCTCCCACAGATGCTGCTTTTAAACAAGCAGGGTACCTCCCCATCGTCACGAGTGGCTCTGTCATTGTAAATCTCTTTGTATGAGGGGGTAAGTGATAAAGTATTTCCCCTAGATATAGTCACTATTCGAAGAGTTTTAATATCATCATTCACCTTGTCCTGCTCACGGTGTATGGATTCAATGATGAAGAGGTTCTGAATATATTTCTCAATAATAACCAGGATGGAGTAGGGCAAGTTATACCAAGTGTATTTTGGATGCGCTTGAGCACAGATAATGGCAAGGATGGAGCCCCAGGAGAGGAGCCAGGACCCTGCAGCTGTGCCTACCAGCAGCTCTGCATCAAGTTTTCGAGCAGGGTTTTTTGAATTATCCAATGATCTGTCTTCCAGTCTGTAGATGAGAAGGGCAACAATTCCAGCTGTGCACATGAGAGCCAGCACAAAGATAGCATGCAAGTAAAACATAGTAAGTGCCAACTCGCTTTTGATTTTCGAACGTCCAATCTGAATTAAATACACTACAACTACGGCTATCGTGCTAATTAAAATGATTAGTCCAAAAATCATTCCAGCAGTTATGCCATGGAATTTGAATAGAGTTTTGTGTTGCTGGTGGTGCTCAACTTTGCGACCGATGTTCTTCCACAGGACATAGAGCATTGTGGATGCTAGGATGTGGTACTCTATATTAAAGGGATACAGGTAATATATTCCTTGAGAAAATATAGAGCAGAGAGTTGTTGTTGTGCAATTGCATTGAGGTGCATGATCATCTAAAACTAAAGGAGAGGAAGAGATTAGTTACATCCATTATAAAGATTTATCATTTGAAGTGAATAGATACAATATAAATAAAATAACAAAACATAAAAAAGGTAAGGTTTCAGTCAAACAACACATTACATGACCAAGTTGGCTACCTAAGAAAAGGTCTTGCCATTAAATTCATTAATCTAACAAAGCCTTTGCAGGTTCACTGTAGCGTAGTTTCTGACTTCACTGCTCACGCCCTGAGCAATAATAACATCATGAACAAATGCTGCATCAAAGTGCACCAAACTTCAGCAGGGTCTTGGTAAAAATGCTTTTTTATGACAAAAAAAAAAAAACAGATCCAAAGAGCTTAGAGTTCTCAGCCCTTCAGCTTAGAAGGCTTTTATAGAAGCCCAAAGATCTGTGGATCAGATCAAGAACAAACTCAACAAGGAAAGGGCTCAGTTCTACTCTGATTTTTTATCAATTATTTACATAGTGTGATTTCTAATACCAAACCCACTTTATTAAAATGTTGTTTCTGTCTAGAAAAGAGGCCAAGTAAGCCACAGATACTTTTAGTCCATGTCCCAGTATAGTTTTAAGGTTAAAAAAAAAAAAAAAATTAAAAATCAGCCTTCTCCTTTTGAGAAAAACTAGAGGAATTATGAAATCCTGATCTCTCTGCTGTGCAGTCACTTGCATTGTAAACCCCTGAAGTATCTCAATGAACAATTACTCATCTTTTCAAAATATATGTATTTAATGTACATTTTCACAATGTATGTATTTGTACATGTGTAAATGCACATGCTGAAGAACACATTTTTAGGCACTGATCTCAGATGTGCACCTGGAAGTTTTTCATTTGTTTTCTATAATTTTAGAAGAGAAGAGGAAATGAGAAAGTTGGAATTGTTTTGTCTCAAGCACACTGTGTTAAGAGATGACAAAAAACTGCTTTTGCAGTGGATATTTTAAAGCCAGACTTGTCTTGCAGATCACTACTTCGCTCCCCCTTCTTTCAGAAGCTATTTCTCACAGTTCATAATTGTGTAATGATTCTGGTAGCAGAATAATAAGATGTAATATAAGGAAACCGCTTCTATTTAACTAGTAGAAATATCAAGAAGAGCTGCTAACTTTTGATTTACCTGCTCTCACCTAATGCACCAAGATTATGGCCATAGACTTAAACACAAGAAGTTTCGCCTTAGCATGAGGAAGAACTTTACATTGCGGGTGGCAGAGCACTGGAATAGGCTGCCCAGGGGGGTTGTGGAGTCTCCCTCTGTGGAGACCTTCAAAGCCACGCTGGACATGTTCCTGTGTCACCTGGGTGACCCTCCCCTGCAAGGGGGTGGACTAGATTATCTCCAGAGGTCCCTTGCAACCTGGATCACACACATGATAATGATAATGATCATATAACATTTTGTTATGATCTGAACTATCAGCTCACTACCATTTGTCCAGGAATGACTATGCTGACATAGTCGTGAATGACCCAGCCCCATCCTACAGTGAGAAAGTATTTTGTACAAGAGTGTGTTAGAGCAGGAATTCCAAAATGTACCAACCTTTTCACTTACCTATTGTTATGTTCCCAAAACCAAGCGTGATTAGTCTTTCCTTATGTTCATTCAGTTGATGTTTTGACTCTGTTAACACTCCATTTGTCCACAGGAGCAAATTTGTGAACACAGAATGGATAACTCCAAACCTACAAAATGAGGTAATTACTGAAGGAATCTGCACAGCGTATATCTCCACATAGGTTAAATTAAAGGGATTAACTTTCTGTAGACAAGCTACATGGCACTATTTATTTGTCAGTGCAGTGGAAAAAGAAATCATAACTGATCTCTAAAGATGTTCTGTAATGGAGCACAATGAATGTTAGACTTCCAAAATTTACAGAAATACAATGGCCTAATGTATTAAAACATTAATAGGATGCTGTTATTAGTTGCTAGGTTTTACTCTTTGGGCTGGACAAGTTTCATGTTAATGACAGGGATTGAACAGTCTAAACAGGGTTAATATTTTGCAAGCCATATGTCAAAGCCTTCTGCAGTGCTTCTTCATACTCACTGTGGCAGGTCTTTCTTCACAGATACCTCCTTCTCTAACTTCTGGGCTATGCATTTTTGCCTCCTGGAAAGAGTGAAAGCTAACAGAGGGCTTTATTCCATTCAAAGTATTGGTACAGTGAGGTAGGACTTGATGCATTTTTGAGACTCTTGGTCTCTGACAAGCCATTTCAGGCTTTGTGAAACAGAATAGCATTAGTGAAAGAAGTGGGTTAATGGTTCTGAACTTCCTAACAAAATCCACACAATAGTTCTCTGTTGCCCAGCACTCATCACTCCACTTTTGTAGAAGGCTGTTGTACCTCTTTCCAAGGCACAATTCTATCACCTACCATTCTGCCAGGCATGGTTCTCCTGCACCCAAAGCTGTTAACGTTTCTTCACCAAGAACAGTTCCTTATTACTACACTGTTCTCAGTGAGAAACTTGCAGTTAGGGATTTTTAAAACCTACTTATTAACCAAGCTGATTTCAGCAGCTGACATTGCAAAGCCTTCTGTGGTCACCCTCCTCATTGGCATGGGGCTTGAACACTTGCCCAAGAGAGCAGAACAAACAGAGAACCTGCACCACAGATGATATTTCTAAGTAAATTTATTTTACTTCCTATAGAAACTGGTCAGCTCATTGATAATTTGAGGTAAGTATTTTTAAAGTGACTGTGTTTTCTTATTTATGTTCTATGTACAGATAAACTACATTAATTCACCTCACAAAACCAAAAAACACATCGGAGCTGCCTCTGCTGCCTCCCACACTAGTCCTCAGTTCTATAAGAAATGTGTGTATTTGACTGTTTCAGGAGGGACACATCAGTTACACTGCAAGAACCAAGTTCTTGTGTCAGAAACATGCACAACCCTTACAGATTTGGGCACATAAGATACCAGCAGGGAGGTTGTGTTTCCCAGTGTATTTGCACAGTTGCATCTACCACAGCTGACTGGTGTGCTTGACGGGCTTGAGGGATGGGATGCCATCCAGAGGGACCTGAGCTTGAGAAACGGGCTCATGTGAACTTCATGAGGTTCAACAAGGCCAAGTGCAAGGTCCTGCACTGGGTCAGGTCAACCCCCAGTATCAATACAGGCTGAGGGATGAAGGGGTTGAGAGCAGCCCCATGGAGAAGGACTTGGGGATACTGGTGAATGAAAAGCTGAACATAAGCCAACAATGTGCACTCACAGCCCAGAAAGCCAACCGTATACTGGGCTGCATCCAAAAAAGGATGGCCAGCAGGTCAAGGGAGGTGATTCTGACCCTCTGTTCTGCTCTGGTAAAACCTCACCTGGAGCATCACATCTAGCCCGGGGGTTTTCAGCATAGGAAAGACATGGACCCGTTGGAGTGGGTCCACAGGAGGGGCACAAAAATAACCAAAGCAATCAAACACCTCTGCTAGGAGGAAAGGCTAAGAGAGTTGGGCTTGTTCAGCATGGAGAAGAGAAGGCTCCAGGGAGATCTTATAGAAGCCTTCCAGTATCTAAAGTGGGCTTAGAAGAAAGATGGGGACAAAGTTTTTAGCAGGCCCTGCTGCAACAGCACAAGGGGCAATGGCTTTAAACTAAAAGAAGGGAGACTTAGACTAGATATAAGGAATAATTTTTTTACAACAAGGGTGATATAACACTGGCACATGCTTCCCAGAGAGGTGGTAGATGTCCCACCCCTGGTAGCATTCAAGGTCAGGTTGGACAGGGTTCTGAGCAACCTGCTCTATTTGAAGATTTTCCTGCTTATTGCAGGGGAGTTTGCTCTAGATGACTTTTAAAGGTCCCTTCCAACCCAAACTTTTCTACATTTCTTTGTTCTAGCTCCAAATGGTGATTTCCATAAAAATCAATAAAAATACTTCTGACATATTGCACTGACTGCAGGTTGCTGATGCAGATTCCTTTTCAGTAAGTAAATAAAGAACACATAATCCCAAGACATATACATGATGCTTCCTTCCTTCAAAAAAATCTGAAGGACAGTGGTATCATACATTGCCCATTTCCCTCTCTCATGAGAAAAATGTATGTATTCTCTGAGTATTGTATATTATAAAATATAAACACAGATTATAAGGGTAAATGGATTTACTTTCTATTTAACTGCTCTGTTACTTTCTAGTTAACACAGTCAAGAGGAGAATCAATCTCTGTAAACTTTTACTGTCCCTCATACAGTCAAATTGTAAGTGTTGAAGCACACCTACAACTATTAGCATTCCATGTAAGGATCGGATCCCCTTTACCTTTCAAGTGTTTTGAAAGACTGGATAATATCCTTTGCATGGCACCACAGAAAGTAGACCTAAATGAAATGAATGCAGAGAAATGTCATTACACCAATGAGCATGTGTGACACTCAAAAAGGCAAGTGCATCTGTAGACAAAAACAATAATCTTTAAATCCTCTGATGATTTAAACCAAGGTAGCTCCATCACCTGGCATGTGAAATAACTCATGTTTTCCTGTGACATTCACTCAGAACATCTCTGGCATGAAGAGCCTGAGATTTCTTGTATGCAAAGTCTGTGGCTCAGTATGACTTCCCAAAACATATTTTGCTTCTGTATCTGGATAGGGTTTTACTTCAATGACAAAGGAAATAAAGCTACCAGAGGTGGACATCAATATGATTACTGCAGGGCATGGCTTGAATAATTTATTGAATATATAAAATTTTATTGAGGGAGAGAGATAAGTGAAAGGATGCCAGATTCTATTAATAAAACAGTGGACACCCAAGAAGCAAGAGAAAAGTTTGTACTATCAGTCTGAGACAAGAACATTAAGAACACAGCATCTGCACACAAGGATAGTGCAGAAAGCTCATCTGGACAATAAAAAAGTGAGATAACAGTACTGATTTACCAAGTAAAGGAAAAAGAAGCATAAAACTGGGACAATCTGTTTGTGGGAACATAATGGAGATCTCAGCATAGAGATTGTTGCTGTCACAAACCCAGTTTCAAGTGCTGATAAATGCAAGGAGAATGATACCAATATTATTCAGGGATGTTAGGGTACAGTTGGGAGTCCCATTCACTCAGAATAGCTCCTATGATACTGAGCTTGACAGTAGGTGAGCTATTAGGAGAGAAATGGTCCAAAAGTTTTCTCTTAGAAATCTGCCTGGTTTGGTGTTCCAGAAATGGTCTGGAAAGTGCAAAGAACTTTGGGTTCTTTTTCAGTAATGAGAGTAACTGGAAGTCCATTGTATCACTAAACATGCCAATTAATGTAGGGTGCCTGTGCCACCCAGCACTGAAATATTCATTCACTCCACTGCTGATGTGTTTATCAAAAGGAGGTGTGAGGACTGTAAAACCCTAGATGTAAAGACTAGAAGATATAATGGAAAATTCAACTTAAATCAAACAAATTGAAATTAGCACCTTACTCTCATCTAATGCTGCGTTCAATTTCCTGTACTGGGATAGGTGCAGTAAAATCTAACAGCAGAGGTGGAAGTATTCATCAAAATTTAAAAAACAACATAAGTTTTGGAGACCTGTTCAGACGTTAGAGTCAAGAAGACAAAAGTCAGTAAGGTAAAGATATAGCATAAAATACAATATTTGTTCACAGAGTAGTCATTGCCCCAAAGGGACAAAGGCTGTGCATTATGTGAAAGAGCATAATACACAACATCATGCACAGCCTGCCTTGGAAGGGCAGGTATGTGTTAGCTCATTGCTTGCACAGGTGCAGTATGTAAAACAGTCCCAGTTTTATGCTTCTTTCTCCTTTACTTGCTAACTCAGTAATGTTATCTCTTTATTATTTGTTAATTTAATGGCACATATCAGGATGCCTCATTTAGTGTAAAACACAAGAGAATCTGACACATATTCTGTAGAAAACACATCTTTCAGTGTTTAGATGACACATAATTAGGGATGTTCTCCGCTGTTATTTCATCCTGCATTTCAAAGACATGATTAGATTTGTCTGAGGTAAGAGGTAGCTGTTAAATCACTTTTTAACTTTTTCTTTGATTGCTTAGGCAAACATTCAAGCTTTCATTTTTTAAGCTAAGCAGATGATAAATTCAACAACATTGGGTGATGTAAAATTTAAATTAGAATTCAATTTAAATTAGTTCCCTTTGTTCAGCATTGTTAATACGCTGTTTCTTCCACACTCAAGTTCACAGTAGCTGGAAACCTTGTCAGCCTAGGTTCACTGAATGCAATGAAGAATGCTGTGTGCAGATGAGCAAGGAAAAAAGTCTTAATTTCTTTGGTTTGTTTTCAGAGGTAAAGCAAAGAAAGTGCACTACACAGAGAATAGATATTACAGGAATGTGAAATTAAGATTATTTCAACCAAAACAGAATTTCACCCTCAGAGAAAAAAATACAAGAGATCACAGTTACTGCTTAAATTTCAATGCTTTTTTTTTCTTAGAGAAAGGAGAAAAATGAAGGTTGTTCAAATGCTCATTTCCATGTAACTACAACTGCTCAGAAAAACGTTCTGTTCTTTCTGAATGACTTACTGATTGTGGGAAGTGCATTAAATGACCTGGCTATAAGTGAGTATCTCAGTTGAGTGGCTTTTTCTTTTTTTTTTCCTACAAATCTGCTGACAGGGACTCAAAGAAATTCACGTGGTAAGCAATCAGCTATGGAGTATACAATATAGACCTAAAACCTTACAACAAACAAGTAGCTAGAATATTTTACAGGAGTCATTATGTTTGCTACTGTGTAGCCACTCATAAGCATACCCAAATGCTTCTAGAAGGAAAATCCACATTTGTTTGTTATAGGAAAGGTGTGCAAGTATTTTATAACCAGCCAGGAAAGGTTTTTTCCCTTTTGAACTATCAGGCCTCCACAGCTAAACTGCAATGGGGCATCAGGATAGATCGAATTGAACTTGTCTGGCAAGTCCTACCTACAGAAACAAGTGAATTGTCTTCAGCCAAGCTGCTCATTTCAGCCTGAAATTTCTGAAAGTTAATATTTAATTTGAACTAGAATTAAACCAATGTAACTTCAGTTCCAGAAGAGCATTTTTTGATTATTTCTTTTTTGAACCCATGTGAATTTTACAGCTGATCGATTTCAGGTTGCAAAGCCTGAATTTACACATAGAAAGGATATACATGAACAAGAACTTAGCCCTCGGAAGTATCCTGTGATATGCTTAGAAATGAAATAAGTGTAAAATCCATTGATGACAAGAAGATAAAATATATTCTTGGTAAGAAATACAGATATAATGTAAAACTGCAACCAGTAACTTTTACCTGTAAGATGGTGTGCACAGCATGTGTAACAGGAAAAATGCCCTCAGTTGGTGATAAACAGTTTGAAAAATCAATATAATATCCAATTTTAAAAGAGTCCAGAACTAAAGTAATCACTGCAAACAATGTAATCCCACCTGCAAATGAAAAAGATATTAGAAAACATTAATATACAGTTACAGTGTCCAGAGACAACTTGTACAATATACTGAAATCTGTTTAGGGAAATAAAAGCCAATCAATATCCGTATTCTTGCTTAGGGAAATACAAGTAGATCAATCTTCATGAAGATAATTGTCTCAATGTAGTAAGTCCCTCTAATGCGTGAAAGCCTCTGCCCCATATGTTATGAAAGCACATCATAGTACACACCTTGCACAGCCAGTTTAGAGGAGCCAGCCCAGCAATGGGCAGGACCTGGAGACACTCAGCACCTCGCAGATGGCTCCTGGCTCCCTGCAAGGTCAGCCTCTCAGGTAACGGTAGCACTGAAGCAACCGTACAGCACATGAATTAACGCTCTATACAGCCCCATTGCAAACTAGACAGTTCCAGGGAGCTGAACAATCATGTTACAGTCTCCTGGCCCAAGAGCTCGACAGTAAGAAGTAACACAATCACTTAGTATGCCTTCCCCATGGTTCCGGAGGTTACGCTTTAAGTCAGGGACCAGAACTACAATGAGCTGTAGGGTTTGTTCTCCTAGACAGGAATCAAAGATTTCATTTCACTATTATTTCCACACATACACAAAAGAAACCCTAATGAGTTCCTCTATGTATTTTGTATCCTAAAGAACTTTCAAAATACATGTTTCCCTTTGTTTATTTTCTTTTTCTTTTCAGGAATGTAAATGTGAAAAACTTATTCTGGGAAGCTACACGATAATACAACATATATTACTAAATTACTGGGTTTGTACCTGTATGGCCAAGCACCACTGGCAATAAAATTACTGAACTAAACTCCAGAGACTTCATTTGTTTTTTGGTTTTTTCCCTCTTCAGGCTTTCACTGGATTTAACTTGGGTTCATTTGAATTAAGACTACATAAAAATCTATCAAGAGACCTTAACTGGACCTTAAGATTTAGATCTGCATCATTATCTTCATTCTTCTTTGTAATTCCCCACTGAATAAATAATATGACTTGTGTTGATTTTGATGAATATTTAACATTGATAAAGGACCATAACCTAACTTCCTTATAAGCACCATGTTCCACTTGAGTTGTGTTAATAAAACATAACACTACTTTCATAATTTATTTAGTTAAGAATACATTTATTGTTAAAGTTGCATTGATAAAAATTAAGTATAAATGTTATAATGTATTTTTTGTTAGTATTTCATTGATCCTTTAAAATTAAACAAAAATAAACTTCATTTATTTTAACCACAAGGTTATGAATTCCAGTAGGATTTCATGTTTCTATTTTACAATTTCTTATAATAAAAAGAATGTCAAATTACTGACAGTGTAATTTCTACCAAGAGATAGAAACCTTTGCTCTCATATTTCAAAATCTAAACCCCCTGCTCTGTACTTCATGAATGTGTATAAGCCCGTGTATAAGCCCATGTGTATTGTTTATATATGCTTATTTTGTATTATCTCTAACACATGTAACAGGACTGGAGCCCACATGTAAATAGATGTGCCATTTTCATGATGTATATACAGCAAATGGCATCATAAAATGCAAAATTCTAGGCTATTCTTGAGATCAAATCATACATTCTCTTCCTTATTTAAAGAATTTTAATTATTCTAAAATAAATCAGAGTTGATTCTTCTGAAAGAGCTTTACCTGAGGTAACTGGAGCTGCGCTGGGCAAGGTATTAAACCAGATGACCTTAAGAAGTCCCTTCCTACTTAAATCTTTTTATGACTGATTCTATGAGTTATGGTTTATTTAGAAAGTATGCAGGAAACAGAGTGTTTGGTGGGAACTGCAAGCCGTCCTGTTCCCGCTATGTAGATAATTAAAGAAGAATTGCTGATAGTGCACCTGGGCCTTGAGTAAGCCAGGGAGTGTCTGGGTGCAAGGTCGGGCTGGAAAACAGCCTGGGGGGTGATTGTTTATAGAATGGAATTTATAGTGACTGAAAACAGTCACTGGGAATAATGTACCTGCTGTTTGGTTTTATGGCTCAGACCCACATCTGTATGCTAAATATTGCCATGCTAGAGTGAATAAAGTGGAACTAGCTGTGAAAGCAGTGTGTGTGTGTGTGTGTGTGTTTAGCCTCTTTCTTTACAGATGCTGCACTGTTTCACTTTTCTCTGAAAAATGCTGTAAGAGGGACTCAATTTGTATTATAATTGTTTCAATAAGAAGGTAAATGCTATCATCTGAAGCAAAAAGATTATAAAAATCTTCCACAATTACTCTACAGGTAATTGTGCATATGTTGCCTTTACAGAGTATTTTAGAAAGGTATTTAATTCCCGACTCATGACGCTAGTAAGTTAATTTCCCAATGAATTCATGGTGTGGGATCAAGCCCTGAGGAAGTGCTGTAGTGAAGTAGTAATGTCAGAGCAAAATGGGTGGAAAATGTTTTATAATGTAAAATTTCTGCATCCTTGCTTCCATTACTCTTGAGAGAGGCTCATCAGAATAGGATCACATGGGACTTGTTAACTAAAAGGAATGGGAGGAGGGAAGGCAAGACAAGGCACAGATTTGGGGTTAAATTCACAAAAATAAAGAGCAAACTCAGATTAGTGATCTGTCTCGTGCACCGCACACACATCTTGTCTTTACAAGGATGACTTGTACTGTAGTTCTACTCTGTCTTGTTTCCTTTCCACAAGATCAGTGTTTCAGTCGAATAGTTTTACACCCATGTCCAGCAAACCACTGGGGGGGGGGGGGGAAGAAACCACCAACAGCAACAATAACAAAAACCAACAACAAAACAACCCCATCAAGTTTTTTTCACATTGAGTACTTTGATTTATTCCTTAGTATCTCTCTTCATGTTTCCTTTACATCCATCAGAGATTAGTGGGGTTCAGTCCGTTCCCATTCAAATCTATAGTTTTGCCATTGTCCTCTAGGGATTAGAAGACTTTATATGACTCATTTCTTTTAATATTTGATTATTTCATTTATTCAAATGATATCTTGATGTTTCTGGCAATCACACAGGTGGTCACTCTGTAAGCATATACTAAGTGTCCAACATGAATATTTAAGGAGCTTCAAAAGAAAATGACCATACTAATTTGCTTAGTCAAAAATCAAAACATAACATATAATGACCGTACATAATGGTATGCTAATGGTTTCCATGTTAACTTTCTCTGATGGGAGCTTCAGGATTATGTACTAATACCAAATACTGGACAAATACCAGTAATTACAAATAAGGGAGTTAATTCCACTGTTCTGCTATTTTTATTTAAAAGTTAAACATGAAATGATTGCTATTGAGCACTTTATTATTTAAAAAAAAAAAAGAAAAAGAGGTATTTTTCAAAATATTCATTGAAACCTGTATATTTGAGGAGATCAAGAATAGGATTTTCAATATTGCTAAGTGCTGCTTAGTTCTATTAACCATCAAGACAAAAAAGAAAAAAGCCATAATGATACAGTTGCAAAAATGCCATTCTAAACTTGAAATATTTTTCAAATAATGGGTGGTCCAATGCAAGCAGTAAATAGATACAAGTTGAAGTCTGCCAAAAGCTTTGTAACTTTTTTGTTGACTCGCTGCTTATGTTAAACAGATGCTGTGCTGCTGGAGAACGTGATAAAGTAAAGCCATTGGTGAAGCCAATTGATTTTCGTTTTGTACAAAAGGCTCGAGGAAATCTTTCTGTGATTACCAACAAGACACGAAACTTTTCCCACACTCAGACTGTAAGAGTGGCTCCTGATCTACCAACAAGCACGAAGACAAGCGTGCTCTAGGGTTCAAGCAAGTTGATGTGTTGGTACAAAAGGCTCAAGGAAATCTTTCTGTGGGCAAAAATTCTTGTAAATTGACCAAATTGTCCTTCTAGTGTTGTTAACCAGTTTGTTAACTCATTTTTTTGTTAAATCATTCTATTTCAACATGTGTCACAGCAAAACGCTCTACTAGTACTACTCCTTTAGTTACTAAAGTTATATTCACAGTTTGAATGGAATCTTGGAAATACATTCATTTCAATCTGTTTAACACATTTGCTCTCACAACCAGAGCAAGGAGTTACTCTTCAAATGGAGCTGATAGAGCTAGTAAAAAAACGCAGCAAGCTTTCTGTGGCAAGACTTGATGAAAATTTGCCCTGCCCTTCTCCAATTTGGACTTTTAGTCTTTCAGATAAAAGATCTCTATGACAAAACCATTGATAAAGAGGGCAAGGGAGTTCTTGGCAGAGGAATTGCTACCTGGGTTTTTCCTTAGCTCAAATAAGTTTTCTTTCATCAACAAAGGATAAAGGAGTTGTACAGGCTTCTTGTAATTACAAGAAACTTCCAAGAATAAGAAAATGTAGGTCTCTCCCTAAGGGCGAATTTGTTGAATTGCAGCCTAGACATCCAAGAGAAGCCATGGAAGCCGCACCACTTGAGAAGCTAGTACAAAGAGCCACCCTGTGCTGGGAAAAGAAATGGATAAGGTAACCTAGTAGTTCAATCCAGTATCTTATTTCTAAGTTTCTGTGACTCCTTATACCCTGTAGGACAAATGAAATGCTCTGAATGCTGTGCCAAAAGAAAAAGGGCAGGGGTCCTGCTGTAGGAGAGGAAAGGCACCCTCTAAATAACAAAAGCATAGCTTGGTCCAAAATAGGATTGAGTTAAGCCCTGCATTAATGAATTTCGGGAGGTTGTAAGCCACATGAGCCAATAAATGAAAAATGACTGAGAAGTGATTGTTGTTTTGGAAAACAGTGAATAATCAAGGAGAACAATTTAACAGTTGTTACATGAACTCCATACATCTCAGGAGAGAGCCCACAGACCATGGCTGTATGCTAGACATTAAAAGAAGAAAGTAAGGTTTCCCTGCGCAATTCATACAGCACAACTGTTAACAGCTGCAAAGAAAATGAAAGACACACAAGCACTGAGACCGAGAACAAATGACATTTCCACAACACAACCTTACTTCTCAAAATATCCAGGTTTTAGATGATCCTGCGATTTTGATTTCGATACATCATTAGCTGCTGTGATAATTAACTGTCGTCTCATTGCTAGAAGGTAGGAAATATTTTATGGAAAAGATGTCTTACACCACTCCACTTAAAATACTTACTTTCCAACCTAGCATTTACAGTGCTGAGACTGGAAAAGAGATTGGTAAAATGGGGCTTGCCTATTACTCTACAGGGTGCTGATGTAGGTTGTTTCTTTTTCTTGGGATCCAGAAACATATCATTGCTGTCACTATTGCAAGGTTTCCTCATCTACCTTCTCTCAATACATGTACATATCCTCACCCTAGTACACACCAGACTCTGCACAGAGGGACCATCGCATCCCACCACTGCCCTTGAAGACTCCTACAAGCTAATGCTAGCTTTAGATTCCTTGTTTGGATGTTTTATGTACTAACCTACAAACTGATCTGGCCAGGGAATTTTGTCCTCCTCTAACTGCAGGTGCTTCTAAGGCATCGTTGTGCACATATAAATGGGAATCTCTATATACATTAGTATAGAGAGCACTTGAGGACTTTTCTGACTAAAGTAGTCTAAAGTAAATTGGATTACGTTGTCTGGAAAAGGTGATAATTCCAAAAGGATTGCATGACACCAACAAAACTGCCTCCTCCACTAGCTGTATTTTGTTTTTCAAGTGTTGCCACACCAGCCTGGTAAGGAAAAAAAGGCACTGGAGCTTTCAGCACTGTAAATGGTAGGTTGGAAAGTGTAGATGTTTAGCAAACAGCTTTCCCATACAATCTCCTAGTGTGTTCAGCTTATGTATATATTTACTTTAGAGCGCACTGCACGTGCGTTAAGTTCATGAATACCAGGATGCCTGCTGGTAGGGATGGAGAGGGTAACAAAGTGGTAGCAGAGACAGGCGATGGCACGGATGCTCCCAGCTCGGTACCACACTTTGTGCCACCAGCCAGTACTCACACTTCAGCCAGCGGGCTCCAGCGTGCGTGTCCTTGTCCCGGATCAGCCTCCTCTGCGTACAGCTCCTGCAGAGGTACCACAGCATCCACAGGAGCTGGATGAGCATCAGCGTGATGAGGTAGGAGAGCAGGTGGCTCTTGCTGATGCCCACAGCATGCACAGCCCAAGCGAATGTGAGCAGCAGCCCGGCCAGGAACAGGTTGATGCCGTACTGGCTACTGAGGATCTCGGCGTTTTTCTGCGGGTAGCTGCCGCCAAGGGAGGGGGAACCGACGGCTTTCTCCATCGCCCCGCCGCCCTCCAGGTGCTGCAGGCAGGCGGTCTCGCTTCCCCCGGGGAGCTCCGAGACTGCGGGCTGGCCCGTCCTCCACCGGCGGCTGGGGGCGGAGCGGGGTCGCCGGCCCTCACCGTGCCGCAGGGCGCCGGCTGAGGGAATCCCTGCTGCTGGGGAGCCTGGGCTACCCATGGAGAAGGCAGGCTGCCGGGGGGAGTAAAGGCTGCCGAGGTTTTGCGGGGTACGGGGGTTTTAGCATAGACTGAGCCAGGAGCTAGGGCAGAGATGAGGGTAAGGGAGGTTAGCCGGGCGGTGCCACGGCCCTGCAGAGGGGCAGGGAGCCCCGGCAGGGCTGGCTGCAGTGAGGGACACGGAGCTGACGTCCGTGTTGATAGAGACATCTATCAACATGCGGCAGAACATGTTCCCTAGATAGGGAGGCGGGAAAGATAACGAGCTGTAGACAAAACACCCCCGACGGTTAATGGCTGGCTGGAAAGCTGAGGAACTGCCAACGCGTGGGAAACTCGGAGAAGGAGAATGGGTATGCTGAAGGAGATGGAGCCTGCCTCGCAGTCGGGGAGCCAACAGCCGGCGATGCACACAGGCGGCAGTGGTGTCACCCACCACACGTTCATGCTCTGGGCCCCACAGTCCACCTTCTTTTTGGCAATTGGCACTTCCATTGGCAGGAAATAACCTTGATGTTCAGGAATTTCTTAAACCTTTCCAAGGCAGAAATTTACCTTAACCTTTTTTTAGTAAATCCCGTTCTGACAATAGCATTACAGTGATTGCTAGCTGGAGTGGCATCTACTCAGCTCAAAGTAGCAACAACTTCAGTAAAGACTGCAGGATTTAGTCTACTGTTTATTTATGCAGTCGTTTTCCCAATTTTTGTGCCCATTTTAAATATTGACCGTTTTTAATTTCACCTGTTAGGTTGTAACTGTGACCCATATCATAAGTTACCAAGGTATGCAAACCTCAAGACTTGGAGCACCAGTTGGTACGCTATAGGGATTGAGAGGAACTTAGCTCAGTGTAAAACACTAAATATTTCAAACGGTATTTTGGTTGCATACAACATGAATTCCCTTAATTCTAGGAATTCAAGTACCTAGCCCTAGCTTGGAGGCCAATACCAAGACAGACTAGTCCTTGTTCTGGCCAGGCAGGTCTTACATTTTTACCCCATATCTGTTAGCAGCGTATCAAATGTCCAAAGAATTGTTTTTTACAGTGAGTGACCTCTGTCTCACATGAAATTAAGCCACTGGTTCAGCTACATCAAAATAAATGAAATAAATGAAAAGACACCATCTATTTCACTCCACTTCCACTGACAAAACGTAGAACAGCCTTTAAGACTTTTTGTCTTCTGAAACCAAAAATTATTAAAGGTTTTTTTTTCCTGAAATAATAAAGGACATTTCTGGACTTATATATGCATTCCTGATGTTCACATTCCTCCTAAAGAACAGGGAAGAAATACAAAATAGCAGAAGGGTGGAAGGAATGAATTCCAGGCAGTTACCTATGTAGGTAAGCATAAGGAAGTAGTAGCTCAAGTCCTTTATTAATTTTGCCCTGTTCTCAAGAAACAGGTATTTTAAGCCATTTTCCTTTTGAAAAATGCACTTAACTGAAAGCCAGCCTTGTTTCAGTCAGGCCTATAACAGCAATATAAATAGAAAGCATAACTAGTCAAACAGTTAAGGCTTCAACCACCTCTAGCTCTGAGCTACATCCATCATTATTCAAAGCTTATGGAAGTGCCAACTTCTCCTTTTACCTTACGTAGTGTAACCTGTAAAGAGTAACAAAGATGCTTTCATATTACAGAGCTTCAGGATAACTGTGATAAATTATTTTCACTATGTGGACTGTTTACTTCAAGATTATTCTAGAGCACCCCTTGTCACCTGCAAAAAGCTCTTTGGTGCCAATACACATTCTCAACCTCAAATGAAACCAACGTAAATCGATACAGAAAATACCTATGGTGGTCTGCAGCCAGCTAATACCTTCAAGCTTAGGGAGAGGTATGGATTTTGATAGCCTAATAACAGTTTTCAGCAAACTATTAAGATACCTCTTTCTACTGTCTTGCCTCAAGTTCTTTATTTTATGGTAAGGAAAATAACAAAAGCAAGGAGTTCACACAACTGTTAGGGGGAGCAGCATTTTGTCAGGTCACCTATTACAGTGAACACTGCAGTGTTCTCCAAGAACAGTGGAATTAGTTAAAACAATTAAGTAATGAACAATAATTGATCACTTTTATACAAAGTTTATTATGTCCAGAAAAACAAATGTGAAAAACCATGTAGTAAACAGTAATTTTAGTTCAAGAGTACAAGGCAATTTAAACCAGCTAGAGCATTTATATAGCTGACAAATAAAAATACAGTGATAATTACCATCCCTGAGCAGCACTGCTTTTTAAATACCATAATAAACAAGTTACTCAAATGTACCTGTGTATGCACATGTAAAATAGTTAAAAATTGTTAAAAGATGAAGATAAGCAACTCACCTTTTAAAGATGAAGTACAACTGGGTTTGGAAAACTTAAATATTACATTTAAAAAAAATCAAGCTGTTAACTTACTCTATGAGCTACTTAACAGTAGTGCTAAATACATTTTAGTTTGGTTTGACTGATCTTTTGTACTGAATACCAATAGCAACATTTTTCCATACTGAAACAGTAGCAGCTAAAGACAATGTCTATCGTTTTCATTACTAAATATTTCATGTATTTTGTAGTCAGCAATGGTGTGAATTTGAAAGTCGGAATGAAAAACACAGTCTCCTCTAATGGTCCAGTGTTCAAGCACCAGTCCCAACAAGTAAATTTTAGCAAGTTTCAATATCCAGCGTCTACATTCTCCTATCTTCCAAAAGGTGTGGGTGCAAAAGTATTTAACACACGGATCTATATAAAATGGTCAAGCAACTACATGGTGCCCAGGTTTCCAGATGATCAAGCACCTCAGCCAAGATGAATAGACAATGTTGCTTTATTTTCCCAACTGTGCATGACTATTTGCTTTTAAATTAATATCAGCCTCTTTACTGCTGCAAATGGAAAGAACCTAGTATTAAGATCCCACAAGATTTGAATTTTCAAATGAAACAACCTGCTTTGAGTAGGAAGTTGGACTAGGTGATCTCTGGAGTCCCCAGAGATGAGCTTTATAGGCCCCTTCTAACTCAAACTATTCTATGACTTATTACCCAGCTGTTTAAAAATGAAATATAAATAAAAGCTTTACAAAACAGCAAGGAAATGCTTTATGTCTCTAAGAGAGGTAAAACCTATGTATCCTTCAATTATTTACTAATCAGTTGCTTTCTCCCAGCCACTGGCTGACCCATGGTTCTGTCCATTTGATTTATAAATCAGGCAGTATAATAATTACAGTATCAGTTAGAGCAAACAAGCAGTATTAGAAACAATAAAAGCACTGGAGTGTTACAAAAGTGACATTCACTTGGCAGGATAACAGTTGCTTGAGTCCTTCACATGAAGCTGAAAGAAAAAACAAATCCAACTTTTAACAAAAATACTGTAATGCTGTATATACTGCAAAAGTTTGTCCTAATTTGATATTGTTAGTTAATGATTTTGAATCACCAAGTAGTAATTTGGTCCTTAATATTTGGTCAAATAATTATTTGGCCTAATACAGAATTAAGAAATTCTGCATAACACAATTGACTTGGCTGTTCATATAGAAAACCAGAATGTTTTCATAAGATTCAGCTGTTCAGGATATCTGTAATTCACTTGTATTTCTTACTTTCTACATACAAACTAATACAGAATGGTCATTCTAGTCTGTTAATACGACCAGCTCTAACACACTGAAATGTGTCTTTCCCCCACATCCTTCCAGTGCTCAAACAGAACATAGCTAATGACAGAACAAACATGATTTGAAGAAGTTCGCATCAGCAAGTGTGACTGAAGCTCCCATAATGTAGTAAAGAGGCTCTGAATCAAATATTGTATTTTTCAGAAGTCTATAGGTGTTGTCAGAGTATGACTTAAGTTAATTACCTCCTTAAAAAAATCAGGCTTCTTGATATCTAGAGAACAGGAAAAATTGCAACACTAGTTTCAATTTGCTCATGCAAACAAAATCTGTTTCATTGTCCCAGCCATTACGTATTTTTTGCCTATAACTCTGACACTGTAAGAGGCTACACTCAAAATCCAGCACTGTCTCATTCTTCTTGATGCACTCATAAAAATGCTCAGGGACTTCCGCACTGGAAAGGATTTATGATGGCAAGCAAAATGAAAGACGCTTCCCCACATTCCCTTGAGAAGTATGGCAAGGAAGAACTGCCAAAACGAGTCATTTTAATGGATGATGTAGACACCTGTGGTACAGGGGACATCCCTTACCCTATATACTGAGCCGTCTTTGATGTCTTCCTTAAGCTTTTTCAGTTTCATTTGAATAGTATATTCCAACAAAAGATGCGAGAACCTGCTTTCAACATCGGAGTTTTTCAAGTCAACAAAATACCCAAGTTTGCCTTTGAAAGGTTGTGGGGTTGTTTTGCTTTGGTTTTGAAAGAACAAAGAACTTCTGATACCTGGCAGTTTTCCAGGTAGCAGGTTGATCTGGACTGCTCATCACAGGAAATTAAAAGAGTGTAGCTGAAGATAAGACAAGGGCAGTTGCACGCTGACATTAATAGCTTCTCCCCTTTACGATCAGGACAAGCAACTCCGCTAAGAGTTTTTCCCAGTCTGGGAAAAGCTGCAGGTATTTGGGCTACATGCCCCCAAACCATCCATTCTCACTAATCACTTCTTTTCATTGTCTAGAATGGAATCTTAGAGAAGAAAAAAAAAAAAAAAACATATTCTTCCCCTTAGGATACTTGCATGTTCTCCAGTTACTCTACATGCCACAAAATGTCAACATTCTAGAAGCGTACACAAAGCAGGGAAGGGATTCTTACAATCCTTAAATGTCTAATAAAGCAGTTCATGTGGATACATATTTTTATGTGCTTAAACAATTATTTACCTGAAGGATTTATCCCAGGAGTGACACAAGCATCACAACACCCATGAACTGAATGAAAAGCAACAAAGGTGTCATAAACGACCAGACAGGCCACAAGGCAACATTGAAACTGCAGATAAAAGCAGGAAGGTCTTGGTAAGTTCAACGGCCATATTATAGAAATACCAGTAATACACAGAAAACATGGCATGTGGAAAAAATACTTGTTTCTCTATGAAAAAAAAAAAAAAGGCCCCAGCAACTACTTATTAAATTGATAGTTTATTTTACTGCTTATTTACTGACAGCTCATCCTAAAACTTC